TGGATATATACCCAGGAGTGGGATTGCAGGATCATATGATAGCTGTATTTTTAGTTTTTTAAGGAACCTCCATACTGTTTTCCATAGTGGCTTCACAAATTTACATTCCCACTAACAGTGTAGGAGGGTTCCTTTTTTTCTCCACATTCCACTCCTGGGCATATATCTGAAGAAAACCATACTTCAAAAAGATACATGCACCCCAGTGTTCATGGCAGCACTATGTACAATAGCCAAGACATGGAAGCAACCTAAATGTCCTCGACAGAGGAAGGGATAAAGAAGAGGTGGTACATATATACAATGGAATACTACTCAGCCATAAAAAAAGAATGAAATGTTGCCATTTGCAGCAACATGGATGGACCTAGAGATTATCATACTAAATTAAGTAAGCCAGACAAAGACAAATGATATGCTTATATGTGGAATCTAAAAAATAATGATACAGGGGCTTCCCTGGTGGCGCAGTGGTTGAGGGTCCGCCTGCCGATGCAGGGGACACGGGTTTGTGCCCCGGTCCGGGAAGATCCCACATGCCGCGGAGCGGCTAGGCCCACGAGCTATGGCCGCTGAGCCTGCGCGTCCGGAGCCTGTGCCCCGCAACGGGAGAGGCCAAAACAGTGAGAGGCCCCCATACCGAAAAAAAAAAAAAAAAATAATGATACAGATGAACTTATATACAAAACAGAAATAGACCCGCAGAGATAGAAAACAAACTTATGGTTACCAGAGGGAAAGCAGGGGGAGGGAAAAATTAGGAGTTTGGGATTAACATATACACACTACTATATATAAAATAGATAACCAACAAGGACCTACTGTATAGCACGGGGAACTATACTGAATATTTTGTAATAACCTGTAAGGGAAAAGAATCTGAAAAGAATATATATATATATATATATATATATATATATATATATGAATCATTTTGCTATACACCTGAAACTAACACAACATGGTAAATCAACTATACTTCAAATTAAAAAAAAGAAACCAAACTTCCGTTTCCTTCCATTTGTCCACAAAATCTGGTTTCTGGAATCCGAGCTGAAAAACACTTTCCTAGCAGAAGCCGATCACACCAATCACTCCTAAGGTTAGTTGTGCTATGGTCTACATAGCAAGAGGTCCTGTGCCCATGGCCTCATGGAAGCAGACAGTACTCCCATTTATTGGCTGCATGACCTAAGGCAGCTTCTCTGTGCCTTGGTCTTCTCATCTATAAAATGGACGTACTAAAAGCACCCACACAAAAGGCTGTTGTTAAAGACTCAACGAGTTACCATATGCAGGTACTTGAAACAGCGCCTTGCGCACAACATGTGTTAGATTTATTTTTCTCCAGAACATTCCAACCTGTGAGGTCTCCAGCCAGGGGCCAAGTGCCTATTGAGGACACCAACCCTTTGCTTCCAGGTTAACAGGGGCACAGCAAGGCCAGACCTAGACTCAGTTTTGCCCCGCACGATCACCAAGTGTGGAGGTAGAGGAGAAAGGTATCCACACACCTTGGACACTACTGAGAACTTCCTCTTCCTCTCCTCAGACCAAGTATGAAGTCATGAGCTGGTGGATGACTTAGAAATACAAAACGCTTTAGTCATTCTTCAGATGTCTGATCCCGTTTCTTCCTAAAACATGGAAGGCCAAGCCGTTATAATAGGGTTCAGATCTGCCCTAGGGGCCAAGTCATGCTTGAGCCAAAACATAACAAAAAGCCAGCCATGAATCTAATTCTCCATATCAGTATTCTATTTCCAACAAGAGCACCCGCCATAATCAGAGTACTGTTCTCAGCTGCTGGGAATTGTAAAGAAAATAATGGTACCTGGTTCTGCAGAAGCTTATTCATTCCTGGAGTTAACAAATATTTGTTAAATTCTCACTTTGTACCAGGCACTAGGGAAAGATTAAAGCCTGCCTCCTGGAACATGTGATGTCGGGAGATGGAGCGGGGCAGATAACAAACAAAGAGCTACGCAAATTCAATAGTAGGTCAGTTGGTAATAAGCTATACAGAGAAAATACAGCAGAGCAGGGGAGTGTCTGAATGGAGGGTGTGTAGTACAGAACAGTCAGAGAGGGTAGAGTTGGCATTCATGAGCCTGAGGGTGCAGACACTGTCTGAGCCCCAGTTAGCCTTTCTCAGAGCTGCTGTGGTGGTGGAGAGGGGTGAGGGAGCCTTCAGCAGAGGTGGGCAGGCCACCAGGCCATGGAGCAGAATGGATAAAAGGAAAGAGACTCAGGGGGCTGCAGCCTGTGAGAGCCAATGGCAAGGTACCAGGTGCTCCCAGGAGCATCACTTGAGTCAAAGAAAGAGACCACAAATTCATTGGCCACGGACCTCTCCCTTTGGGTTAGCAAAGCACCTGGTGGCCAAGCGGGAAGGGGACACTGAACTAGAGTCTAGCAAATGCCAGCCCGGTCCCCCCAGGAACTGGTACAAAGCTAGGTACCCCTCTCCCTCCTAGTTTCCTAAGGGCCTTTAAGCCACCTGACCTTCCCTCCCCATCCACCTGGGCCCCCTTAGGGAAAGACAGGGCAGGGGGAGGAAGCCACTGGAGAGGAGAGGATGTTATTATCCAAGAGGACTGAACACTACCCAGAGGAGCTGTTTAATTCATCCAACTGGACAGTGCTTTACTCAGGCTGGATAATTGTTTCTTGCTACCCAGTAGGTGAGAGTCCAAGGCAAGTTGAGATCAACTAGAGATGGAGAAATTACATTTCTGCTGCTTAGGAGGAGGAGGGAAGGAGGGAGGGAGGAAAAGTGGAGAGAGTGAATGCAGAAACTCTTTTGAGTTTTGCTGAAAACATGGAAATGATCCAGAAGAGGGAGAAAACTTGATGATGCAAGAGAGAGAGAGACTTTCTAAAGTGATTTCTAGAATTTCGAGGAGGCGAATGAAGTGCTGAGGGGCAGAGTTCACTTCAGGCACAAGTACCATCCACTCATTCATCTGTCCAGGGGGTGGATGAGGGGGGTCGTGGTGATGGGAGCATGTAGTCCTCTTCCAGCTGTTTCTATTCTTTCCAAGAATTGGAATGCAAGATCATCACCTGAGAGCGAGGATGGGGACGAGGTCTTGGGGATTAAGGAGAGAGGAGGATGTACAAAGGAGTGGTTTGGAGGGCGAGAGAGCGAATTAAATAGGATGAGGATGGTGGGAGAAAACTAAGCATCCAGCTAGAGGCTGTGAATTTCAAGTGAAACAACTCTAGGTGCTTGGGAGCCTGCACAGAGTAAGCAGAGGGTTCCACTTAACCAGGGTTATGGTTGTGCTCTCATAAGGAGACAAGTATGACAACAGAGAAAAGAGCACGGGAATGGAGGGTGTTTTCCTTGGGGCGATTAGTATTGCTCTCGGAGTTTAAATCCATTAAAGTGGGGAAGCGTGGACTTGAGGCAGGTGAGGGACAAGGAAAAGGTAGGAGGAGAAGCCGAATGGAGGTCCCAGTGCGGTTGAAGGATTGCAGGAGTTGAGGTATTAGAGAAAGTGAGCTAGAAAGACAGAGGGTGAAGGTCAGAATCTGGGAGGGCTGAAATTGAGATGAAGGCGAGCTCCCAGGTCCTGGTACTGATAAGGTGTAAGGGATGTACACAGGAACCGCTGCCTGAGATGGGGGGGAGGACAAGACCATTGATAGAAAGGAGAGGCAGGGGAATTGTGCAGGGGTGTGAATTTTAGGAGGAGTGCTTGAGAGAGTGAAGGTCAGGCACCCAAATTCTCAAGAATGAGGGTGAGCGGTGGGGGAGGGGGCTGCAGAGGGCAGAGTGTGAGGAAGTTAGATTCAAAGGTAGGTTTTAGGATGGCTGGGAAGAGCAATGATGAGGAAGGTGACAGGTATCCCTCCTCACAGCCCATGGCTCTGCTTGTGAAAGAGGACCACGGGGAACGGGGCGGGGATGCGAGGCACTAGAGCAAAGCCTGGTTTCAGCTCCAGAAAGAGGACGGGAACCGTGGGAAAAGAAGTTGAGGATTTAAACCACAGTAGGATGGATGGAAAAACCACTAGAGGAGCGTCCATCCATGAAGAGATAAAAAAACTCTGTTCTAAGGACTTGAAGATTAAATGGAAAGCACAGCACCAAATACATCCTGAGCTCTCAGTGTCAGCTATTGTCATTAGGATCACAATGAATTGACTCATAAACCAGTTTTTAGTCTTTTCCCCAGAATTTTAGTTCTTTCTGGTGTTGGCCAATACTCTGCTTTATTACATTTACAGCATATTTTGTACACAGGAACAAAATAGCACACGTTTAAGTACGCAGAGGTAAACGTAAATACTTAAGCCTTGTTCTTTAAAATGAATAGACATGGTCATATCCATAGATTTCAGAGTCATAGACATCGTTGAAATTACTCGGTCAACTCCATCACCGCTTGAAAATTTACAGAAGAGGAGAACTGGCTGGGCAAGCAAGGCTGGGACTGATCCGAGATGATTCGGTTGTTGAGCCGCGACCAGAACCCGGGAGGGGCTCTAGATTCTGGTCTAGGCTCCTCTCCTATTATTGGTATTGCGGCACCTTCCAGAACTGTCAAGACGCAGCCACCAGCCGAGGTCCCTCAGAAGGTACCCTCCGAACCCAACCTACAAAAGAGCCCACGCTCCGCTGGGTCCAGTAACCAACCTCGCTGGGATTCAGGAATCGCTTCCCGCGTCTGGGCGGGGCTCGTCCGCGGCGGCCGCCTCCCGCGTTCAGTTGGTGGGGAGGGAAGTGCCTGGAATACGTGGAATACCACGGGCCTGGGAGCGGGAGCGGGGCCGGGGCAGGCCAGGCGGTGGCTGGGGGCGGGGACTGCGCTTCGCCCGGTTGGCAACCCTCAAGGCGGACCCTTCAGAACCGCGTTCCCGCGCGCGGTGCCGCCGGGCTCGGGCTGTGCGAGCGCAGGGGTTTGGCGCGCCCAGCGCGCACCGGCCGCCAAAGGAAGCGCTTTTGCCGCGGGAACAGGCGCTAGGCACCTGGCCCGGCCCGGGGGCGCAGCGCGCCCATGGGCAACGCCGAGAACCGCAGCGACGGCTTGGAGGGCGCAGGGGAGCCGCCGTGGACAGAGCTGCTGCCTTGCGACGAGCGCCGTTGCTCGCCCTTCCCCCTGGGGGCGCTGGTGCCAGTGACCGCCGTGTGCCTGGGCCTGTTCGCCGTCGTGGTGAGCGGCAACGTGATGACGGTGCGCTGATCGGGCGCTACCGGGACATGCGGACCACCACCAGCTTGTACCTGGGCAGCATGGCCGTGTCTGACCTGCTTATCCTGCTCGGGCTCCCCTTCGACCTGTACCGCCTCTGGCGCTCCCGGCCCTGGGTGTTCGGTACGCTGCTCTGCCGCCTCTCGCTCTACGTGGGCGAGGGCTGCACCTACGCCACGCTGCTGCACCTGACGGCGCTCAGCCTCGAGCGCTACCTCGCCATCTGTCGCCCGCTCCGGGCCCGCGTCCTCGTCACCTGCCGCCGCGTCCGCGCGGTCATTGCCGCGCTCTGGGCCGTGGCGCTGCTCTCCGCCGGGCCCTTCTTCTTTCTGGTGGGCGTCGAGCAGGACCCCGGCCGCTACGCGGTCCAGGACCTTAACGGCACCGCGTAGCTCACCCCCTCGCCCCGCGCCTCGCCGCCACCGCCACTCCTCGGGTCCTCGCGGGCGCCACCGCTGTCCCCGCCGTCGGGGCCCGAGGCGGCGGCGGCCGCGGCGCTGTTCAGCCGGAAGTGCCGGCCGAGACCGGCGCAGCGGGGCGCGCTGTGCGTCATGCTGTGGGTCACCACCGCCTACTTCTTCCTGCCCTTCCTGTGCCTCAGCGTCCTCTACGGGCTCATCGGGCGGGAGCTGTGGAGGAGCCGCGGGCCGCTGCGAGGCCCGGCCACCTCCGCTCGGGAGAAGGGACACCAGCAGACGGTCCGCGTCCTGCGTAAGTGGCGCCGCCTCTGTTCCAAACACCCCAACCCACGGTCCAGGCTGTGTCCCCTTCCCCTGGTCTCCCAGCCCTCGGCGCCTCTTCTGGCCACGTTTCATTCTGTCGTTCTACCCCAGCCTCCACCTGCTTCTCCTTCTAGTCTCCAGAGAAAACCATCTCCCGTCCTCCAAGGGCTCTGGGTCACCCCAGGCGTCCCTTGAGAGTGGGGTATCCGGGTCCTGTAAACAGCAATTATTTCCCAAAGCCTCTGTGATCAGCGAGCTGGGCTGATCCAAGATGGATAATTGCAGGCTCTTAAGCCAACTGCCTGTCTCTGTTTGATGCTGCAGTTATGGAATTACAGAACCCTGGAGAAGACGGGATAGCTCACGTTAAGATAAAGTTTCTTTACTTAATGTTATGTTATCCTGAACACTAAAGTGAATCATGCCCATATCAAAAAAATAAAGATTGTGCAGACTTGTTGCAGAGTTCTTTTCAACCGAAAACAGAGAACATGTCAACGAAGTGGGTTTGTGGAAGGAAGCCTGCCAGAACAGCTTGTTAGTAGAAATCACTCCTGGTTTATGTCAGGCCTTGATAGTAAACGTATGAGCCGAATACTCAGCTTTAAAGCTAATATCGATGCTGTCTGCAACCTGGTAGTTTTTCTGGGGTGGGGATTTGGCTAGGCAAGAGTTTTATTTATTTTGCTGTTACTTATTACTTCAGATGGTTTCCTGAGGATGCTTATTTGTTTTCAGATGCTTTAGCTAATTCTGGCGCCTATGTCTTGTTTTGCAGTGGTGGTGGTTCTGGCGTTTATAGTTTGCTGGCTGCCTTTCCACGCTGGCAGAATCATTTACATAAATACCAAAGATTCCGGGATGATGTACTTCTCTAGTACTTTAACATTGTGCCCTGCAACTTTTCTATCTGAGCGCATCCATCAACCCCATCCTCTACAACCTCATTTCAAAGAAGTATAGAGCAGCGGCCTGGAAACTGCTGCTAGCCAGAGGTCCAGACAGAGAGGTTTCTGCAGAAGCAGGGAGGCTGAAGGGGACCCTGGAGGAGACATGGCTGGCTGCACCGAGACCAGCGCTAATGTACAGACACCGGCAACCGGCATGGCCAAACAAAGTGCCTCATCCCACAGCTCTGGGACTTAAGGGAAAACAGGTCTGCAGGAAGAAAAGAACTGCGAGGGGGGGAACCGAAGCTGTTAGGGAGAATTAGAAAGAGTGGTTGACATTTTGCAAGTTGGTCAGCAACTTAGCATGATTTTTTTTTTTAAACAAAGGTATGAAATGTAACTGTACAGTCTCTCTGGTTTTCCTTTCATGTACCCCCCTGGGGATGTTCATTTTATCCTCCTGATATCCCACATCACAAAATGTTCTCTGGGGAGGTTTTGTAAGTCCTCATTCTTCTACTCTGGGGAAATATGACCACTCATTTTCCAGTTAACAAGTGATCCAGAGAGATGCTGTCATAAAAATTGTCACCTGTGAGGTCAGAGGTGTATTTTGTTTTATGTTTTGGATATAAATGTGATGGTGCATCTACAAGGAATCCAGGATGATGAGAGTTTTAATCCAAGAAATTACTTAATGCTTATATATGACAGCAAAAAATGTTTAGAAACAAGTGAAAGGAATTCTGGGTAGAGTGCAGTGTTCAGGGGTCCCGCCTCTCTCAGGCTCAGAGCAAATTGTTAAGTTTAGGCACAGTACCCTCTTTCAGAACCTGGGTACCGAAGTCTGAGGGCAGGAAGCTGCAGAAGGATGTAGCTTCCACAAAGCGACTGTTGATCACATGGATAAGAGCTTTAATACGCCTTATTCGCCTCAGCTTGGTGGGATAAGCAATGATGGAACCAAGTCTGGGGTCTGAGTCTGAAAACTCTTAAGAGCCTTACCCACTCCCACCCCGAGAAGCTGCACTAACAGAAAAAACGAGAGTCAATGGATGTACTCAAGGGTGAGAGAGACTGTGCTGGACATTCTGGCCAACAACTCTGTAACTCTGTTTTAGTTTTCACAGTTTAAAACATAAACCTGTTTTTGGAGGGCTCCTACTGCCTCGCTGGACTCCAAAGGGCCTCAGTCAACCCAGGGTCTTATGAATGGCGCCCCCTGGAGGTAGGCAGGATACAACTAGGTCAGCTGTAAACTACAAATGGTGACTCCATAAACAAGGGTCCGCTCCACACGCTGACAAGGTCCTTTGCTTTTTCATGTGATTGACTATGTACAGTGATGCCTTCAAGTCCCCTTGAAGTGTCCTAACACCCTGGCCTTGCCCTCAGCTGGTGTGGCAGTGAAGAAGTCCCCGTCTACACTGTGTTTCTTCCAACTTGGGGCAGTGGTCCCTAAATTGTGTTCTGCAGATTTTCAGGGAGTATTTGAAAAAAGGATTCTGTGGTCAAATATGGCAGAAGAACAGTGCATGCTGTACCCACCTTTCCAAGAGTCACAACACAAAATATCCCATCAGAGGCTCTGAGAAGTTGTTGCTGGGAACACTGATGGAGGGTCTCACGGTGCAGGTGCCAGCCTTGTGCCACAGCCACTCCTCTGCTTGGTGGCACTAAGTGGGGACGTCCTGGAGATGCAACCACACAGTCTTTCTTCTCTCAGGGTTCCTCTCTGGGACAGTCAGAAGCGGCTTCTTCCCTGTAGAAAATCATGGCTAAGAAACTTACTGATATGTTATATGTAGTATAATATTTTAGATATAGAAGCAAAGACCTCTCCTTTGAGTTTTCTTGTTCAGATTCTAGAAAAGAGGGATTTGCATCACCCTTTCCTGTGACCTAGGTGTGTTCCCAGGTGTGGGCAGAGAAGGATCATCCTTTCTTGCCACTGGGTCCCTGAGATGGAGTATCTGAATTCCATCCCTCCTATGGATTGCTGTGCACCTGTTTTCAAAATGCCGATCTTACCCATTAGTGGATTGTGAGATGAGTGGAGTGTGTCACATGTTTCTTTATTGGATTGCGAATAGAATAGAGAATCAGTGCATCATGTGTAGTAAGGCTAACTGTTGTGTTGTGAAACTTTTGTTTCAATTATATATTGGTTGGTATCTTTCATGGTTCGTAAAATAAAATATATTCTCATTGTGGGTCATGGTCAAAAATATTTGAAAAGCTGTTCTAAGGTCTAAAATTGTTCTCTACCACAGAAGAAAGTGTCCTCTGGTATTGACAACTGGCTATAAAGGGGAGGGGCATGCTGGGAAGACTCGGGGTGGCCAAGTCAGGGATCACTGGAGAGGGATGGCTGGGCTGTGGGCCTCCCTCCACCCTGGGGATGGTATCCTGGATGCTGTGTCTGGGACCTCTCACTGCCCTCGGACGAAGATGTGTGCTGGGTCCCTGCAGGGCTCCTTCTGTAGGCCAAGTCGCTCTTTTTAGGTGAGGCACCAACCTTGGGGAAGGGTTTGTGTTTCATTCATTCACTCCACAAATATTCACCAAGCAACTGCTAAGTGCTAGACGTGTATGTCAAAATACTCTAGAAACATTAGTCCATGTCATGGTGTTGAAATCAATCAAATTTTTAATGGTCTTTTTTGCCTTGAAATGTGTGATTGTTCATCTAGACTAGACATCTAGACTCAGATTCAGCTCACAGGCCAATAAAAGCACTCACATTGGACGGACCTGCAGAATTTCAGGTTAGTGTCATCTACACGACTTCCCTCCGCCTTTCTATAGGAGACTTTCCCACTTCTGAAGCAATTGCACAGCACCTCCGAGGACCCAGGAGTCCAGGGGACACGAGAGCAATGTGTTGATGATGTTTGAAAGTCTGAACATGGCCTCTCCTACAATTTCTACCCAGGTAACAGTAACATTTGCTAGTATGTGGAACCATTCACATATAAGTATTAGTGATTGTACAAGTGTTTTAAGTGGACCATTAATAAAAGGCTTTTCATAAACTGTGGGGCCATTTTCTATTGTGAACCAACTTTCTAAAGATTCAGAACTCTAAATATTACAAAGAACCTAGTCAGCTCTGAGCAGCCTTCCAAAATCAGCATCCCTGCTCCTAGGAGCACAGGAACCTTTGTCATGGAGAGGCGTGTGCTCTGTGGGTGGCATGCTTTGTGGCAGTCACTCAGCATGTCCCTCACTCTGTGTAAGCTACAAGGAGGTGACAGAGGCAGACTCTACTGGCCACCTTCTTAGGAAAACAACACACACACTTTTGAAAGATTAGCAGACGCTTGTGTAATAAAGGGCCAAAAAGTGCCATCCGGACCAGGAGAGCTGAGTGTGGGCAGACAGTCAGGCGATGCTCTACGTGAATCTTTTTCACGGCACTTGGTCCGTCACATCTTGGGGACTGGTTCCCAGAGTTTGTAACTTGCTCCCTAAGGACAGGCTGTGCTTTATCCCCCTTGGCATCTCTTGCCCACAGGTAGATATGTGTTGAACTCAAGTGCACAGGGACCTTCACCCCAGTGGGTGGACAGAGATGGAGGCTGAGTAAGCAGATGACTGGGACGTCCATTCTGAGCCATCGGTCAGCCCGAGGGAAAGCACAGGACACGGGCGAAAATGGCACACAGGGGGCGTGGGTGCTGAAGGGAGGAGAGGACAGGGCTCTGAGGAAGAGAGGAGGGAGGCAAGGGCACTGGTGTAATCAGGAGTTGGAGCCTGCAAAGCAAAGGAAGCAGGGTCTGGGGAGGCTGAGCCTGGGAGGCCAGCTGGGACCAGTTAGGTACTGTAATCCAGGCACAGGGCACTCGTGGGTAGAGTGGTGACACTGGATCAGTAACACAACCAGGTTCAGCACCTCCCATCACCAAGACGCCGGCAACCTCGTGGCCTCAGAACAGGGAGCATCCCTTTCCCCATCCTCAATCCCCAGTGCCAGGCATTCCCACCTTATTTTCCTGCATCTGTGCCTTTGCGCCCCACCCCAGCTCAGGCAGGCCCACAGCATGACGGGTCCAGTAATGACATCTTCTTTCCCTCATCTTTGCAGTGAGTGTGCAAGTCTCGAAAATGTTCCAATAATTCCTATGACTTATGATGATACAAAGATAAAAAAAAACTTAAAAAAAAATCTTTTTTGAAAACCTGCAGTTTTCAAAGTCGTGGTGTCTTAATTTTACTATAATGGTTATACCTGTTCATAACTGGAACACACATAGGGCTCCACGTGATCTCTCTTTCTGTCTTACTTCCACAATAATTCATTACTTTGTCCTTACAGTGATTATTAGCGCCCTTCCCTCAGGCTTTTTATTCCCCTCTGTAATTCTCTACAGCAGTGGTTCCCAAACTTTGACACGCGTGATAATCACTTGGAGGGAGAGTTAAAACACGGCTTGCTGGGCCTCATCCCCAGAATTCCAGATTCCGCGGGTCTGGGCTGGGACCCGAGAACATGCCTTTCTCTCAAGTTCCCGGGGGATGCTGATTCTGATGGTCAGAGGACCACTCTCTGGGAGCCTCTACGGTAGATGGTTGCTACAGAAAATGTGAGCCAGAGCAGTGGCATGCGCATTACCTGGCGTCTTGTTAACATGCAGACTTTCAGGCCGCACCCCGGAGCCTTCTGAGTCAGAACCTGAATTTTAACAAGAGCCCCAGGCGCCTCCGACGCACATTAAAGTTTGAGAAGCACCAGTCGAGAGGCTAGACCGACGGCATCAGAATCTCTGGGGGTTGAACCCAGACGTGGTTTTTACAGCTCCTCAGGCGATTCCAATGTGCAGACAAGACTGCGAACCATCAGTAGGCTCTCCCTCACCGAAATCTCTTCCATTCTCGCTCCACCCTCTCCCCCGCCCCACCCCTTTCCTCCCTTTCCCCGTATTTACCTCAGGATAAAGGAAAAGATACGAAGCCAGTAAACAAAGATACTGCAGGTGGCTTTGGGCGGTGGATCCATGGGAAAGTCATTTATATTCCAGCAGAAACTGGAATGACTGTGGTCCGGCGATGGCTCCTGACTCCTCAGCCCCCCCGGTCCCCTTAACGTCTCCCGCCCACGCCGAGGTCCTTCCACGCACGGGCCAGGCTGAGCCCACGCCTCCTCGACTGCTCCTTCCCGTCACCAGGCCTCCACCCCGTTTCCTGCTCTTCTAGACATCTTCTATTCTTCTTTTCCCTCAAGTCCTGACTGGCTCCTTGCGCTCTTCTCCATTTCTCCAGAAAAGGCCTTCTCAGCTCTTCCTGTGGCCTTCTCGGAGGCGAGACCCCATGTCACCTGTGGCCCTGGGGGGCAGCCCCGGGACTTGTGCCTGGGACTGGTTACTGAGGTCAGCCGGGCGGACGGGCCGGGCTGCGGGTCCCAGGGAGCAGGCCTTGACTCTGCGAAGTCTCAACAAGAGCTTGCTTCACGCTCCAAAGTCACGTCAGGTCTCCAACCTTTCAACGTTATCGTAACTGAGTCCCTAAAACTCAGAGGCTGACTGCATAAGGAGAAGAGGAAGTCAGAAGTCCAACATTTTAGGTCTGTTTGAAAGAAAAGGGATGCCAGAAGCCCGGGTGCTTGGCGCAGCGAGCGGCGCGGGGCGTGCGCGCCGAGGTCTGCCGTCTGCGCCTGCGCGCAATCTCTGCGCCGGCCCGGGCCTTGGGTGCGCTGGCCCCGCGGGGAGCCGCGCGCACTCGCAGCTCCGCTCTCCGTGCGTCAATTCACAGGCGGACGTGGACAGATAACAACAGAAAACGGTGTTGCAGCAGCGGGAATCAGCAATTTTGCACAGGGAGCTTTGGGAGATGTTGCTTACTGTAATCTGCCTGAAGTTGGGACAAAATTGAACAAACAAGAGGAGTTTGGTGCTTTAGAAAGTTTGAAAGCTGCCTCCATCAGAAGTAACTGAAATTAATGAAGCTCTGGCAGAAAATCCAGGACGTGTCCAAAAAATCTTGTTATGAAGATGATTGGCTGATCAATGTGACACTCAGTAACCCTTCAGAACTACATGAACTAATGAGTGAAGAAGCATATGAGAAACACATAAAATCTATTGAGTGAAAATGGAACCCCTAAATAAACTAGTATGAAACAACTTAATCTAGCATAGTTGTCTTCAATTAGTTGTGGACAGATTTTTTAAAAAGCAACTTGTAGCAAAGGAAACTACTTGCAACATGTTACCAGAAGAAAATACCCCCTAACTTCCTAATGACTGCAGATAAACACTATGCATCTTTTCCACAGCACCCTATGATTTTTAGGCTAGGCTCCAGTTTCCAATACTCAGAATTCCTGAAATTATCTGTGGTAAAACTAGTTATAAAAATTATGTAATTCAAGGAAAACATTGTTATCTTAAGCCTTGTAACAGTTTACAGCCATCCCTGGACTGGGTCAAAATACTTGATGAGGGCTTCCCTGGTGGCGCAGTGGTTGAGAGTCCGCCTGCCGATGCAGAGCACACGGGGTCGTGCCCCGGTCCGGGAAGATCCCACATGCCTCGGAGCAGCTGGGCCCGTGAGCCATGGCCACTGAGCCTGTGCGTCCGGAGCCTGGGCTCCGCAACGGGAGAGGCCACAACAGTGAGAGGCCCGCGTACCGCAAAAAAAACCAAAACAAACAAAAAATAAACTTAATGATCTTCCCATTGGAAATAACTGGCGGTGGAGAAAAGTTTTTGTTAGTATTGTTCTTCATCTGACACTGTACAACTATCTTAATTTTGCAACATACTGTGTTTGCTGGTGCTATTTTTATACAGTGAAGCTACAGCCTTGCAGGAAAATAAGAGTTTAATAATAAAATATTCAACTTAAAAAAATTAAAAAGAAATAGGCTGTAGAGGTGGTTTAGCAGGGGACAATAATGAATTCCATTTTCTTTTTTTAAATTGAAGTATAGTTGATTTACAACATTGTTAGTATTAATTCCATTTCAATTCATCTCTTTTCCAGTGACGCCGTCCTGTTGTTGCATCCTCCCACAACCACTGGGAAATAGGTCCCAATAGTCAAATCTTAAGAAATGCTGCAATACCATGGAAACTGTTTTTTGGGGGAGAGGTGGGGGGAGGGCAGGGAATTCCCCCATGGAAATTCTTTTTGACCATAGAGCTATGTTTTTTTTTCCTCCCATTTCGTAACATTCCACAGAACACTCCAGTTTGAAATACCAGAGGGAAGTGTGGGTATAAAATCAGGGCTAATGATAAAGATTGGGGAGTCAACAGCTTAGAAGTGATCATTTAAACAAGTGGTTCTCAAACTTTAGCGTGCATCAGAACAACTGACGGGCTTCTTAAAACACAGATTGCTGGGCCCCACCCCAGAAGACCTGATTCTGTATGCCTGGACCCGGGCCTGAGAATGTGCATTTCTGTCTGGTTTCCAGGTGATACTGCAGCTGCTAGTCCAGGACCACACTTGGAGAGCCACTGATGTAAGTGACAGGAATAGATGACCTCTCCAAGGAGAAAGCTGAGAGAGAGAAAAGAAGAAGCTTAGGGTTACATGCTGATGTTACAGCACAGGCTGGAGAACTCACTGAATCAGGCAGGAGGAGCAGAAAAAGGGAAAGTGATGAATTGATACTATCCAAAGGAAGAGAGTTTCAGGGATCAAGTACCCAGAGGATACAAAGAGAATGAAGTAGGGTTATTAGATAAAATACAAGATTACTAGTTCAATTTGAAATTTGGATGAACAAATGATTTTTTTTAGTATAAGTTTAATAAGTATACAAATGATGTACTTAATCCCAATTTACATGACTCGACTTATGATTTTTCGACTTAATGATGGTGTGAAAGTGGTACGTGTTGTATAGAAACCATACTCTGAATTTTGAATTTGATCTTTTCCCGGGCTACCTATGTGCAGTATGATCCTCTCTCGTGATGCTGGACAGAAAGCCATAGCTCCCAGTCAGACCGTGATCACGACAGTAAACAACCTGTACACTTACAACGATTCTGTACCCAGACAGCTATTGTTTTTCCCTTTCAGTACAGTATTCAATAAATTACATGAGATATTCAATAACTTATTATAAGATTGGCTTTGTGTTAGATGATTTTGCCCAACTATAGGCTAATATAAGTGTTCTGAGCACATTTAAGGTAGGCTAGGCCAGGCCATGATGTTCAGTAGGTTAGGTGTGTTAAATGCATTTTTGACTTATGATGTTTTAAATTTATGATGGGTTTATCAGGATGTAACCCCATCACAAGTCAAGGAAGATCTGTACTAAAAATATCATTCGTTATTTATCTGAAATTCAAATTTAACTGGACACTGTATTTTTGTTAAATCTGGTATCCCTAAAAGAAGGGTAATGGAAAGGCCCCAGGATTTGGCAAAAGGAAGGAACTTGGAGAGCCTTTCAATGGAGTGTTGAGGGCAGGAGCCAGAAGCTGCTAAGTTACAGAGGAAATGGCTGTGGAACAGGGCTGAGGTGGTCCTGCCTTGGGGCTTCCATGAAAAGGGATCCCAGCAGCTGAGTAAAGGGCTTTGCTGCTGGTCCTGCCCTAACTGTACCCCAGGCCAAGAGCCAGTCTCTCTTGCTGTGGCTTGTGCCCAAGCTCCTGGGAGCACGGGGCACTTGTGTGCTGAGTATTTGCAACTCGCACTGATGTTCTTAAATCACAAAACTGAAGAAATGTGTCTGATTCAGAACCACCTGAAACAGACTATGTAATCAAAATGCGTTGAACTGAACGCATTTAATTTATATATAATCCATTCCTGGGAACTTTGAAAGGGCTTATTTTTCTTTCTGCAAAGGTGTGGAGTAAAATAAAATTTTGTTAAGTGACCGATTAATTCACAAGGTTGCGGGGGGGATTCTCATTCTGGAAAAATGTATCTCTGTGTGACAACTGAGACCACAGATAATGAAGTAATATTTCACTGTATGTATAGAATCTGGCACCATGCCCAGCACGTAGTAAGGACTTAATAAAAGTACTTGTATGTGTATAGAGGATACTACACATTTTGAGCAGGGAGAAAGACTGATTTCTTAAAAACTTAATGCATTGCAATGTTATAACTGAAGGTTTAATTACATAATTACTGCAATGTATTTATAATAATACAATGTACTTGGCACACCGTTCAGCATGCGGTAATCCTCAGTGTGAGCTAGCGTTATTGTCCTCAGTTCATATGCTACTAACTTTCCCTCGTTAGAAAGAATCAGTCCTTCTCCCTGTCCCTCCACACACACAGTGGAGCCTGATCGTGGAGTAGTGATGTGGTCAGGTATATACTGTGTCCAGTGAACTGCTTTCCAAAATGAAAGTCCTGCCCACCCAGCTTTTACAGAAATATTCCCAGGGTCTCTATACACTCTGCTCTTCATGGAAAGTCAGGGCTTGTTACTGTTATTGCATTGAGAACACCTGAGGAAGACCGTTCTCTTTTTCAACAGTCGCTGCAGCTGCTTTTAGGATTTGACAGTGTAAGAGCTGCCCTTTTTTAGAGCATGGAAGAAGGTATACCAACTGAAGGAAATGGGCCTTCTTCAATAGGCAAGAGGATATTGTGCTTCTGAAATGTAAGTGGAGCTCTTGTAAGCCTTTGTTTTATATAAAGACAGTATAAAGAATGACACAGGCTGGAGGGAATAGCTTTATAGCTGGTCAAGCATTTGTGCTCTGTAGTATGTTAACAGATTTCTAGTTCATTGGTTTCATTTGTCCTTCTTAAAAATGTCCCATCTTCACAAGAGCTGTTGGGGAAAAAAAATCCAGCGACAAACTTCTGGCATCTTCTTGGCAGCCAGCTGCTCGACTACTGTGTCACATTCACAAATCAAGTGATGGAAAATAGGGAGTTTTATTATGATTTCTGGTTTGAGGAAGCCACAGATTTGGTCACTAAACACGATATTCAAATGAAACTTTGTGGGAAGTTCTGCAGGGCTTGCCAAGGTAACCTAGAATCTCAACTAACCTTTGAAGTTATTATAAACAGTCAATGTTCCAACAGTGGAGGACATTATTCAGCAAGTTGGAGAAAGATTCCCAGATCAGCACCTCAAAGCCCTCACATTAAGACACGGATCATCTCCAGCTCAACATGTCAGAGGAGCACTGTGCCAACACGTATAGAGTGACTTACCAATCCTGACATTCTCTGTGGAGGTTCATTCCCAGAGGCTCAAGTGGAAAAAGAGGAGAAGATAAAGTGCTTCTGTCCACAATTTATGACGTTCTACAGCTGCCTGATATTTATGTATTTTTCCTAATGCTTCCGTATTGCTTAAGGTCCTGCGGATTCTTCCCAGGATGAAGATGGAGAGGAAGCACGAATGCAAGCATCACAAAACACACTCCCAAACACTGACTCAACAGAGGTCAAGTCACAGGGCTTTGTGAACGTAACTCTTAATACAAAACATGATCTGGATTTCATGAGACACACACAGAAAACTCTACACAATGTGTCAGAGCTTCCTAAAGTAATTCAGAAATCACTGAAAATATCCAAGAGAATTTTTAAAGGTGCCTTTTATTGGTTTATTAGGAGGCAAAGCTGTAAGGTACATGCAGGCCACTTAGTCATTGAAGGTAAATTGCCAACAGGCCTCTCACCTAATCCATCAGCCACTGACCACTCACCTGTTGAACAGCCACAATCTGAACTTGCAGACTTTGAAGACTTCTGTGTTCTCCCAGAAGATGGTATGGAAAGTGCTGCTTTGAGATTCCCCCCTGGTGGCATAATGGCAGGGCTGAAGTCATTTGGGACATGATGTTTATTATCATTGATCTAATGACCAGGATTTGAGTTATCAGTTCTTTGAAGAAATAAATGTTGAGGAGGTAGGGAGTGAAAAGGGAGGAGAACACATTTATAAAGTGCAATGGTGCTTCTGACTTAAGTACATTATGTTTGGAGTATGTTGTTAAAAATCTGTAATGGCTGGTTGTGGAAGTTACCAGAAAGTGACAGAAGCCATGTGCTCACCTGAAGAGGATTTCAGTGTAGCCTTTGTCCTCAAGGGAATGTAAGTCCACCAAACTGGACATCAGCTTTTTAGCAGATGTACCATGAACACTGTTTCACAGGCAAGACAGAACCTGAGTTTGCAGACGTTGATGACTGATTTGTCTGGTTTTGCCTGTTTTCCTTTGGGTGTTTTTCCATGACCATATCTGCTTCCTCATCTTGATTTATATGCATAACCAGGAAAACTGGTCTTCTTGCAAAAACAGGAGTTTTGTGGTTTATCTAGGAAGAATACAGAAACTATTGCTTTCTTGTTGGTGAAGATGAACAATTTTGTGGTTTATTTCAATCTAATAAAATGTGGATTTTGTTTCAAAAACAAACTCTGTCTAGAGTTCTTAGGCGGGATGAGGTGAGATAGGTGGGATGCACATGTCAGCCAAGAACATTCACCTTTGGTCATACAAGTGACCATCTAAATGTGAGTACATTATGTTTAAGTTGGTGTGTTAAGATATCACATGTGTTGTTTTCTAAGTATACAGATACCAGCTTCACTTCCCCTTCATCCTCAAGGCACATTGAACTAAAGAATCCTCAAATTTGAACATTCTCTTTCTTTTCTTTAGTGAATTAATTAATTTATTTATTTTTGGCTGCATTGGGTCTTCGTTGCTGCACATGGGCTTTCTCTAGTTGTGGCGAGCGGGGGCTGCTCTTCGTTGCGGTGCGCGGGCTTCTCATTGCGGTGGCTTCTCTTGTTGCGGAGCAGAGGCTCTAGGTGCATGGGCTTCATTACTTGTGGCACATGGGCTCAGTAGTTGTGGCTCACGGGCTCAGTAGTTGTGGCTCACAGGCCCTAGAGCACAGGTTCAGTAGTTGTGGCATGTGGTCTCAGTAGTGTGGCAAACGGGCTTAGTTGCTCCATGGCACGTGGGATCTTCCGAGACCAGGAATCGAACCTGTGTCCCTGCATCGGCAGGTGGATTCTTAACCACTGCGCCACCAGGGAAGTCCTGAACATTCTTTTTGATTTAAATGAATTTGTATTCCAAAAAGGACAGAAGACAATTTACAAAAATGCCCCCAAATAAGACAAACATTAAGGAAATGGAGAAAGTAGAAACTAAGTAAAAACTAGTGTAGGTAACATAAGATTATAACACCAGAGAGAAAGTGAGGACACGAAACTCATGCCTTGGTGTCTGGTTAGGAAGGTCACATGATTCGCAGGAGACAGGAGAGTTTATCCTGTGGGGACTCCAAGATGACACACTATAAGCTAGAAAACCATAATAATCTTTACAGCATAATAATAACCAACAGTAATCCTTACAGCAATCAGCACTGAGTACCATAGGGCTTTTTCTCATCAGGCCAATGAGAAAAGTTATCCCACACTTGGAAAATGATAAAAGGTGATTACTTTTTTAAAATGCCTTTTCTATTATTAGAAAATAATATGGCTGCTTGAGTAAAAGCAGGACCTTGTCAAATGGAACTCTCACTTGATATTCTCGGGGAAGGTAAATTTGTTGGCACACTTTTTTTTTTAAATTAGTAACACAAATGATAAAAAACAGTGACAATTTATAGCCTGTGAGATGAGAGGTTTGCAGAAACTGATAAAGTATTAGGATTTTATAGCCTGGTAGAAAAGTTACTCCAAAGGTGTTATAGTTTAATCAGCCTGAAGAAAGTTAACTAGGCATATGGTATGGAGGGGGTTCAGAACAGGCTGCCCCAGAAAGTACCACTTTCACATGTGGATTATTTTGAACTGAAAGCAGTCAAGACCCAGCAGACTCAGAAAAAGCTTTTTAACTCCCTCTTAACTGCCTAAAAGAAATTAGAAAGGGGCCCTGTACCAGGAAGTGAGCTATTACCTAATATCACTTTTTCTTCTGTGAGACTTATCTGCACCTCTGGCAAACATCTGCTCACCAAACATCTGCTCTTCTCCTCTTCCCATGAATGGCCCTCCTCCATTTGAAGGCCCAGACCCTTGTCCCTTTTCTCAGCTTAGGGTGGTATATAAGTCTCAGTTGCCTGGCTGCCTTTTTTTTGTTTGTTTGTTTGTTTGTTTTGCGGTACGCGGGCCTCTCACTGCTGTGGCCTCTTCCGTTGAGGAGCACAGGCTCCAGACGCACAGGCTCAGCGGCCATTGGCTCATGGGCCCAGCCGCTCCGCGGCATGTGGGATCTTCCCAGACCGGGACACGAACCCGTGTCCCCTGCATCGGCAGGCAGACTCTCAACCACTGCGCCACCAGGGAAGCCCCTGGCTGCCTTTTGAGTCTCCTATCTTTGCGGCTCTCCCTTACATAGTAATTAAAATGGTTTTTCTTTTGTTAATCTGTATTTTGCTACAAGGGCGTCTCAGCCAAGAACCTAGAAGAGTAGAGGGGAAACTGTTTTTCTTCCCCTACAGTATGAGCTATTTTACTTAGTCCTCTCCTTTCCAAATGTTAAGATCCCCATTCTTCAAATCCGCTCTGCTCTAGGGCATGCTGCCATCACCAGAGGTTCCCTCGGTTCTGAGTTAAAGGAGGGGGAGTTGATTGAGTTGTACTGGAAAACAAACACACTGATTTGTTTACATACTGACCATGGCTGCTTTTGTGACATGACAGAGACCCAGTGGCCCACACAGAGTAAAATATCTACAGTTTGGGCCTTTACAGAAAAAGTCTGTCAACCCCTGAATTAAAATGAAACTTTGACTCCTGTTCCTAAACTGGTATGAAAATTTTGCTTTTCAATATCAGCTAATGTTGGTAGATGATGTGATGCCAAAAACGACTTATAGAAGCAACTCTACAGAGGGCCAAAATACTGCTGCTAAATACCAGGGACTCAGTCAGCATCTCCAAGGGTGGGTGGGGCCCAGGAATCCAGGTTTTAACACGGTCTCTGGGCGACTCACATGCACGTGCAAGTTTGGGACTCACTGGGCCCTCTGGTCTAGACTGGTGGTTCTGTCCAGATTCTGCCTCAGTAGGTTTGAAGTGGGGCCAAAGATTTTGCATTTCTAACAAGCTCCTGAGTGATGCTGATGTTGCTGGTCCAAGGGCCTTAGTTTCTTGCCTGTAAATTGGAGATGATGAAAATCTATATCATTGGGTTGTTGTGAGTATTAAATGAAGTGATGAACATATATATCCTGCTCCCACCCCTCTCAAGCTGTGGCTGCTTGATCAAGGTACTCAATGTCTTGGTTCTTATAAGCAGGGATAATAATAAAAATACCCACTTCATAATAAGGTTGCGGAAAGGAGTAAATGAGATAATATATGTAAAGTAGCTAGAACGGAGCCTGGAACATAGTAAATGCTGAGTAATGTAAGATACCATTATTATTATTATCATCATTGTTACATAAGCTGACTGATGCAAGCAGCTATTCCATCAGCATTAGTTTCCTCTCTATTTCCTCTTACCTGTCCTCTCATCCCTACCCCTCCCTCCAAATTCTGTTGATTTCTAACATGTCTAATTAGAGAACCTCTTCAGGCTGCTGATTCAGAAATGCCCAAACCTAGTCCAGAGCATGCCACACTAATGGGGACCCTGACCCCATTTGGACCGTGGTGTCAGGCCCACTGCCTGCCCACTCCCAGGCTGCCTATGGTAGAGTGACCCAGGGTAACATAGGAAGTGGGCTTGCCTGTCCTTCCCATCTCACGGGGCACAGACGTTCTCAGGGTTCCTGGACAGTCTTACTTTGTAGCACATTAATCTATCTGGCACCAAGTTTACTTTTCTGGGGACACCATTAGGGACAATATATGAAAAACCTGAGAAGTCATTTCTCTTTGGCAGCACCGCCCTCCATAACAAAGCAAACGTTCCATGAAGGGTATCTGGATTTTGTTTTGGCTTCTCTTTGCTTCTTTGGGGTTTTAGTGCTGCCAGGAACTGCCTTCCAAGAACTGCTTGGGAAACCTTAATTTCTGGATTCAGGGTGGTGTTTATAGTTACATCTTTGCCTGAAATGACCAAATTAGGGCCAATCCTTTGTACAAGGGTGCACTGGCCACCAAGAGTCCCTATTGGTCCTGTGGCCGCCTCATCCCCAGGCATGCAAAAGACATGGTCACCGGTCATGTGTGCCTTCCACGTACGACAGCAAGACCGAGTGTGAGGTACATTTTCTTCTACAAGCCAGGTATTCAGTCTCTGCCAAACATCACCAGTATCAACAAATCCAGTATAGATTCTATGTATGGATGATGAGCTCCATGGGACCTCAGCTTGTTTTGCTGTGAGAGGATTCTGTCCAAATAAACACACTGCTAGGACCAAGATTCCCAACCAACAGGACCTAGAATAAAAGGAAAAGATCTGGGTTATCTATAGAGAATAAGCAAATGAAACAAAGTGGGGAGGGATACTAATTAATGATGCTGAGTACCTATTCTTTGCAGGAGCTGTGCTACTTGGAATCATTTAGTTTTCAAGAAAATTTGTGATAAACATATATCCCTCCCTCCCTTCCTCCATCCCCTCTATCCATCCCTCCTTCCTTCTTTTCTCCCTCTCTGAATAATTCAGTCAAAAAAACCATTTGACAGGACTTCCCTGGTGGTCCAGTGGTTAAGACTCTGCACTTCCACTGCAGGGGGTGTGGGTTCAATCCTTGTTAGGGAAGTTCCACATGCTGCACAGTGCGGCCAAAAAAAAACACAACAAAGCCATTTGACAACCTCCCCTCCTCTCCTTTTCCCCTCCCTTCCCTTCCCTTGAAGGCAGAAGGGGCTGTAGAGGCAGCAGCACAGGGGCTGGGAAGCCAAGGAGGTAGCCACTGTGCTAGGGAGATTGGTCACATAGTGGGGAATTGAGTGGGGGAAAAAAAAAACTATATTGAGAATAATGGGAGCCAGGTTTCCTGCTGTTTGGAGAAGAGATTTGCAAGTATGGCAAGGGGGAAGGCTAGAAAAAACCCTGGTGTGCTAGACTGGAATTGAAGGTATTGGTGTGAACTCTTTTAGATAGTTAGCTAGCTAGCTATTGAGAGAGATACAGTTATATGAGTGTGTATACATGTATTTATACACACATATATAGATATAAATGTTTTGTAGATCTAGCCTCTCAGAGGGTCTAGTGGTAATGACATACCAGTAGCAATGAGCACACTTACTGCCTAGATCTTAGGTTTTTAAACACTAAGGAGCGGGGGATTAGAAACAAGATAGTGGAGTAGAAGGCCCTTGAGCTCACCTCAAGGTCTCATGACAACATCAAAAACACAACTAACTGCTGAACAGCCATCAATAAAAGAGACTGGAACCTACTAAAAAAAATATTCTACATCCAAAGACATAAAAAAGAAACCAAATGAGACAGTAGGAGGGGCGCACGTGTGATCTAATCAAATGCTATACCTCCCGGATGAGCAACCTACAAACTGAAGAATAATTATATCACAGAAGTCTTCCCACAAGAGGAAGAGTTCTGAGCCCCATGTCAGGCTCCCCAGCCTGAGGGCCTGGCATGGGGAGGATGAACCCCCGGAGCATTTGGCTTTGAAGGTCAGTGGGGCTTGATCACAGGAGCTCCACAGGACTGGGGGAAACAGAGACTCTACTCTTGGAGGGTGCACACAAGGTCTCATATACACTGTGACCCAGGGCAAAAGCAGTGACTTCATAGGAGTCTGGGCCAGACCTACATGCTGGTCTCAGAGGGGGTTGGGGGGAGGGTGGCCATGGCTCTCTCTGGAGTCATAAAAGCCGGTGGCAGAAATATCAGAGAGTGTTCATCTACTTGAACTCTTGTTGGAGGCAAACATCTTGTTTGGGTAATTAGCACCAAGATCTGGCTCCATCCAGAGCCTGTAGGCTCCAGTGCCTCAGGCCAAACAACCAACAGGGCGGGAACACAACCTATCCATCAGCAGACAGTCTCCCTAAAGACTTCCTGAGCCCACACCCACATTTAGACATGCCCTGAGACATGGCCATGCCCATCGGAGAGCCAAGAACCAGCTCATCCACCAGTGGGCAGGCACTGACCCCTCCCACCAGGAGGCCTGCACAAGCCTCTAGACCAGCCTCATCCACCAGAGGGCAGACACCAGAAGCAAGAAAACTACAATCCAGCAGCCTGTGGAACTGAGTCTGCAAAGGCAAGTCAGAACCTACCCTGGGACCAGCTGGTCACTGGCCCTTAGATGACAAGAGGGGAGTGCACTGCTGGGACATATAGGACATCCCCTACAGACGGCCACTTTTCCAAGGTCGAAAAACATAACATTCCACATACATAAAAATACAAATAGAAATTGAGACAAAATGACATGGCAGAGGAATATGTTTCAGACGAAGGAACAAGATAAAACCCCAGAAGAACAACTAAGTGACATGGAGCTAGAAAATCTACCCAAGAAAGAGTTCAGAGTAATGACTGTGAAGATGATCCAAGAACTTGGGAAAAGAATGGATGCACAGAGGGAGAAGTTACAAGAAGTTCTGAACAAAGAGTTAGAAAATATAGAGAGCAACCAAACCGAGTTGAAGAATACAATAACTGAAATGAAAAATACACTAGAAGGAATCAATAGCAGAATAAATGAGGCAGAAGAATGGGTAAGTCATCTGGAAGACAGAGTGGTGGAAATCAGCCATGGAACAGAATAAAGAAAAAAGAATGAAAAGAAATGAGGGCAATCTAAGAGACCTCTGGGACAATGACAAACACACCAACATTCACATTATAGGGGTCTCAGAAGCAGAAGAGAGAAAGAAAGAGCCTGAGAAAATGTTGGAAGAGATAACAGCTGAAAACTTCCCTAACATGCGAAAGGAAACCGTCACCCAAGTCCAGGAAGCACAGAGTCCCAGACAGGATAAACTCAAGGAGCAATACTCTGAGACACAGTCATCAAATTGACAAAAATTAAAGATAAAGAGAAAACATTAAAGGCAACAAGGGAAAAGCAACAAATAACATACAAGGGAAACCCATAAAGTTACCCGTTGATTTTTCAGCAGAAAGTCTGCAGGCCAGAAGGGAATGGCATCATATATTTAAAGTGATGAAAGGGGAAAACCTATAACTAAGAATACTCTACCCAAGTAAGACTATCATTCAGATTTGATGGAGAAATTAAAACCTTTACAGACAAGCAAAAGCTGATAGAGTTCAGCACCACCAAACCAGCTTTACAACAAACGCTAAAGGAACTTCTCTAGGTGGAAAAGGCTGCAACTAGAAACAAGAAAACTATGAGAAGACCTAAATAGACACTTCTCCAAAGTAGGCATAAAGATTGCCAACAAACACATGAAAAGATGCTCAACATCACTAATCCTTAGAGAAATGCAAATCAAAACCATAATGAGGTATCACCTCACACCAGTCAGAATGGCCATCATCAAAAAATCTAGAAACAATAAATGCTGGAGAGGGTGTGGAGAAAAGAGAACCCTCTTGCACTGTTGGTGGGAATGCAAACTGATACAGCCACTATGGAGAACAGTATGGAGGTTCCTTAAAAAACTAAAAATAGAACTACCATATGACCAAGCAATCCCACTACTGGGCATATACCCTGAGAAAACCATAATTCAAAAAGATACACATACCACAATGTTCATTGCAGCACTATTTACAATAGCCAGGACACTGAAGTAACCTAAATGTCCATCAACAGATGAATGGCTAAAGAAGATGTGGCACATATATACAATGGAATATTACTCAGCCATGAAAAGGAACGAAATTGAGTTATTTGTAACGAGGTGGATGGACCTAGAGTCTGTGATACAGAGTGAAGTAAGTCAGAAAGAGAAAAACAAATACTGTATGCCAACGCACATATATGGAAACTAAAATAAAGTGGTACTGATGAACCTAGTGGCAGGGCAGGAATAAAGATGCAGACGTAGAGAACAGACTTGAGGACACAGCGGGGGAAGGGGAAACTGGGATGAAGTGAGAAAGTAGCACTGACATATATACACTACCAAATGTAAAATGGATGGCTAGTGGGAAGCTGCTGCATAGCACAGGGAGATCAGCTCAATGCTTTGTGACGACCTAGAGAGGTGGAAGGGAGGCTCAAGACAGAGGGGATACGGGGATATATGTATACATATAGCTGATTCACTTTGCTGCACAACAGAAACTAACATAACATTGTAAAGCAATTATACTCCAATAAAGATATAATAAAATAAAAAAGAGAAAACTATTAAATGGGAAAGCTACCAGTAAAGGCAAACATACAGTAAAGGTAGGAAATCATCCACACACAAATGTGATATATAAACCAGTAATCCTGAGAGAAGAAAAGTACAAATGCAGGATATCTGAAATGCATTTGAAATTGAGAGATCAGCAACTTAAAACAATTATGTATATATAGACTGCTATATCAAAACCTCATGGTAGCCACAAACCAAAAGGCTATAATAGATATACATACAAAAAAGAAAAAGGAACCTAAACACAACACTAAAGATAGACATCAAATCACAAGAGAAGAGAACAAAAGAGGAAAGGAAGAAAAAAGACTTACAAAAACAAATCCAAAACAATTAACAAAATGGCAATAAGAACATACATATTGATAATTACCTTAAATGTAGACAGATTAAATGCTCTATTTCCAAAAGACAAAGACTGGATGAATGGATACAAGAACAAGACCTGTATATATGCTTTCTACAAGAGACCTGCTTCAGATCTAGAGACCCATAGAAACTGAAAGTGAGGGTATGGGAAAAGGTATTCCATGCAAATGGAAATCAAAAGAAAGCTGGATTAGCAATACTCATATCAGACAAAATAGACTTTAAAATAAAAACTGTTACAAGAGACAAAGAAGGACACTGCATAATGATAAAGGGATCAAATCAAGAAGAAGACAACAACAATTGGAAATATATGTGCACCCAACATAGGAGCACCTCAATATATAAGGCAAATGTTAACAGACATAAAAGGAGAAATTGACAGTAACACAATAACAGTGGGGGACTTTAACACCCCACTTACAACAGTGGACATATTATCCAGACAGAAAATCAATAAGGAAACACAGGCCTTAAATGACACATTAGACCAGATGGACTTAATTGATATTTATAGAGCACGCCATCCAACAGCAGCAGAATACACATTCTTTTCAAGTGCACATGGAACATTCTCCAGGATAGATCACATGCTGTGCCACAAAGCAAGCCTTGGTAAATTTAAGAAAACTGAAATCAAGCATATCTTCCAAATACAACATTATGAGATTAGAAATCAACTACAAGGAACTTCCCTGGTGGCACAGTGGATAGAAATTCCACACTCCAGGGGGAGGCTGGGTTT